ACAGGTTGGAAATATACTTGACTTTCATGTTTTAAAAGAACTTTTCATTTAGCCCTATTCAGATTTTCAGTTCACCTTTTGCGTAAGGGTTTGGTAGTAGATTTAATGTCAATTTTGACCATGTGGACAATTAAATGAGGTTACATATGACTAAATAAAAAAATAGATGTCTAAATATTCAGTTCAGAAATATGTAAAATGATACCAATTTGATATTGTCAGCAACTGCTAATTGGGTCATTGTATATTTGAAATGAAATGTCATCACATTAATAAATGTTTAAAGGGATATGGTAGCTGGTTCCTTTATTGAATCATGCATATTTTTGTCAATAGTACTTATAATCATCAAAAAGTGAAATAGCACAGTAACAGTTCTTGTTGTTATGCATTCGAATATGAACTCCCTAAAACGGATTCCTTGTTTTCTTCTTCTAGTATAGTGACCCAGATATACGTTAGGATGTGAGTGAGTGATGGATTGTTTTAATCCTCTTATTATACACCTTCCAGATTAACCTTCTTTCCTGGTTCCAATTGTAAAGTGTGTGAGGTCTGGCATTCAGTTGTCAAGTGGGCATGAAATAGTTTTTGCTCGTGACTGATGTTCTCTTCCAACAACTAGTCCATTTCTGCCTTTTCTCTGATGCAGTTTTTGAATTCATTGCTGGGGTCTTGATTGTGTGACTGACTTGATCCACACTTACAATAATAAGCAACATTTCATATTAAAAGCTTGAAGAGCACATTGTGGCATTTTATGTTCCTCTTTCCCTTTTTATTCACCCCTCATTTTTTTTTCATCTTTTATAATGAGTTGTCATTTATTCTTTTGCTTTCCAACTCTTTTTTAACCCTTGTCTCCTTACTCATGTATTCATACATCTTGTAGAATGTGTATTTAAAAAAAGTTGTACTATGATAATATATTATATGATGACAGACTTCTGGTGATAGTCACTAGAAATGCCGTTTATTGTATGCAAAAATGGTTTATCATTGAATTGACAAATTTAACAGATTTTAAGATATTATTTGATTTCAACAAATGGCCTGGGATGTTTTGTACATTACAATGCAAACATGCCTCTGGGATTTTTCACTTAAGTAGATTCACCTCTCTCATGGCTCATTAGTTACTTAATGTACGTCAAATGAGCTGACAATATCATTGTTCACAAAATATGATAGATTAGATGCATTGTGAATTCCATGTTTTGTTGGTGTTATCGTTGATGTCATGCTGGTATGTGTCATAAAGAAATACATGTTATGCTATTGCAGCTACACTCCTTCTCCTAATCTGACAAGTTTAAAGGTTGTATCGAGTTGTCACATGGGACAAGTGATAGAATGAAATCAACTCAATTTATTCAACTTTTATTTAAATGATATCAGAAAATGATTATATAATTGAATCAAACGTTATCACAGGAACAATAAGAATGCAGAATAATGCTTCAAATGTATATGTTGAAAGTCTATACAAAACTGTACTTGAAAACGTACAGAAGTTGGGTTCAGACTTTAGATGCGTGTACATACCTAAAGTAATATCCATGTTTTACGATTGTATAATGTTTATGAGTTGTGCAAGATTACCTTTAATATGTTTAATATATGAATATGAAATTTCTACTCACCAAGTCTTGTTACAAAGTCATGATAAATGAACTGGAGCATGAAATCAGTAGTATGTTTTTGTTAGTTTGCCAAAAGTCTTTCTTTTGAAGTTTGGCGATTTCTTCACTGTTGCCTAATTTATTCAAACTTCAAACATTAAGATGCCGCATATGAATATACAGTCATGCTAACAGCATTTCGTCAGTATCAACCAATGATAATTCCCCTTTTAAACTATAATGATTTATAGTTGAAATTTAAACGCACTGAGTTCCAATTTTTCCCGAAATAATTTGAAAGCACAATAGAAATAGATGTAAGTCCAATGGAATTTTTACAAAAATAACAATTGTAAACATGTCTAGGGTGAAATCTTCTGCAACATAAGATGAGAGATCTTAAAATTTCACACTAACTGCAATCCGAATATAAAGATTTTGTTTGTCCAGACAAAACAGAACTGGCATAAAATTTTCTAGGTATATTGCAGTAAATTTAGAGACCGAATTAGCCTTACAACTATATCGTCTGTTAGAAACCAGAAGGGGTTTACTTTTTTCTTAAAGGTTTTTATTTAATGCCCTTCTGGTACAAAAGAGATGAAATTTAGAACTAATTGACAAAATTTACTTCTTTGGAAAAATTCATGGAAGCAATAGGGTGAATGAAAAAGAGAAAAATACCTAGATAGAGGACTTTTATTATCTCACAATCTTTCTGGTACATTGAGCAATAGACCAGTTCACGGTTAGCACATCACTGCAATGACCCCGAATATCCACAGATCTTCAAAACATGAAGACGTCCCACTTTGTACATTTTGAAATAATCACTCCTACAGCGATAAATAGATAGCCTTTGTTTCCCCTTTTCAAAGAATACTTCCACCTGTGTATCATGGAGTGCACTGAATGTGCATGAATGAATAATAATCACATAACTTTCATGAGGACGCATCCAGTATTGCGTCTCCGTGTATTTCAAAATTTGTTCTGCAATGACCTTTATCTGCTCATGCTCAGACTGCAACCGTGAACTGGCTTATTATGAAATGCGGCAGGTTGTTGGAAAGTAAATGGCTCATTACGTATGTCAGATTGAGTTTCTTTATTGTAATTAGACACTAATAGGTTGCAGCTATTTGCATTGAAAGATTGTAAACAAAGTTCAAAACAAGCCGTCTAATGCTAGTATAAAGATCTGTTAACTTGACTTTTATGCATGTAGGATTGGCACAGATTACTAATAATGAGGATGTTTACTTCTGGTAGCAGAAGGGAAATCAGAGTGAAACTCGTTTCATATGGTCTAGTTTAATTTATACAAAAAATACACCTGCCAGATATATTGATGGTCTGCACATGATTTCCTATGAATTTTTGTATAATTATTAAAGAAAGTCATATCTCGGCTTATACATACTACACTCTTATCAATGCCTAAGTCAATAGCACAGAAATACCACAAAGAGATGCATAATTTGTGCATACTCAAATGTGTGTTGACTCTACATATACATTTTATATCTAGCTCATGATCTAAATTATTTTTTCACCTCTCATCATAGATCTATCTTCAGGAGACAGATACAGAGAGGGAGAGAGAGAGAGAGAGAGAGAGAGAGAGAGAAAGAGAAAGAGGATTCCAAAATACTGTACTTCAACTTACTATTGTTAATGCATTGCTATTTATTAATCAAAAGTAAACTAAATCTTCAAAGTTTGGGGGATTACCAACACTACGACCTTGATATACAACCTCATAGTTGACATGATTCTATTTGCCTAAACTTATAAATGGCATAACCATGCATAAAATATATACAATCTAACTTTAATGCTGGTGGTCATGACCTGTCTGTAGGAAGTGTCACTCCTCTCCTGAATTATGTGAAAATCATTAACCCAGACAAAACTCATCTGCAAAATTACACATTCTTTGATCTTTAACAGGACGGCTTATTTATTTGTTTGTAGAAATGGAAGGAAACCTTAAGGAGGCCAAGATTTCCCTCAGAGATACACCGTTTCCTTTCTTTATCAGAATCAATCGTAAATATTTTGATTTGTGGGAATGTGCTTTATGTTTGTGGAAATCCTTTAAAGATAAAATCGAAAGGTTACCTCCGTACAATGATGAAATCTCTTTAATTCATATAACTTTTGCAACTATATGTGAGAAAAAAAAACATAGGAATTCATGTAAACTAGTTATACATTACATTACTTATTGTAATTATTTGAGTTAGTGTTAATAATTCCAACTATAACATCTCATGGAATCTGATCTATCAAAATTAAAAGAGGTAGATATTGCACCTTAAAACATATATAAATACCTGCTGATAACTACTAAACTAATATGGGCAGTTTTACATTGAACAAATAAACAAAAGATACCAATTTTCGTAAACATTTATAAACACTTCTTGTGGGATATTTCTAGTCATAACTTAACAGTATCACCATTTAGATTGTGAATGGGAAGGAAATAGTCACATAAAACAGATAACTGTTCCCTTTCATGTCATAATAAATCAAACAGGTGGTTGTGAAAAGTGTTTTATGAGTTGAATATGGCTAGAATATATCTTATCTTCCTACTAATAAATTTAAATCGGATGGATGGAAGTCATCATGGTGCTCAACTTTGATCAGTTTTGATAACCTGCAGTGATGTATTCAAAAAGAGATCTCATGTTTAGCCATACAACTACATCAAATGTGACACCTTGTAATCTACACCTTGACACCTCAACATCATAATGTTCTTGAATGAAAGACCTTGGCGTGGACCTATAAAACAATCTGATATATGAGAAGGGTGGTTTGAATTGTTTCATTCATTTCAATTCTCTGTCAATTAACAAATGATTGATATGTAATTGAAACACTGATAAAGTCTAGTTTAGTGTGTAAGGTCAGTAGTTCAAATTCATCAATATTAGATAAATGGAAAAGGGGATACCGTTGCCAATTTATTTTATGCTTGAGATAATATATAAGTTTGCTCCTTCTTAACACTTTCCAGAATCCAAGCGTGAAATAAATGACTTTTTTGGTTTGAGGTCAGCTTCGTTTAATGTTTCAAAACTAGAACAATTCTCAATTTCTCAATGGCATTACAAATGTAACTCTTTGCTTTGCTTCAACTTCTGAAGTTCTGTGAAACATTAAAAAGTTTAGTTTTTATTACCTATGTCATAATATAACATCATAAGAATTTAAATATAGATTATGAATGAGTCAAACTCCAATCAGAGTCAGACTTGTAACATCAATGTAAATCAATGTAATTGATTACTACTATTAATGGCTGTTTTAAGATGTAATGAGTGTATCAGTTTACAATGAGAGGAATCATTTTGTTTGTTTCAGGTCCAAACCAATGTGAGCTGAACTGTATGCCCAAAGGGGAACACTTCTACTACCGCCATGCAGAGAAGGTGATCGATGGAACCAGATGTGGGCCAAACACTATTGATGTCTGTGTGGATGGGGTCTGCAGGGTAAGACTAAGACCACATCATATGTTTCTCTCTCTCTCTCTCCTCTCTCTCTCTCTCTCTCTCTTTCACTCTCTCTCTCTCTTTCTTTACATATCATTCAGAATATTTGTGTGTATGAAAGAAGTGCTTTTGTGCTGGACTTAAATCAAATCTGAAAATAAGTAAATATTTGTAACAAATATTACATGGTCTGTAACAGATGGATAAGTAAGAAATGATTACAACAATTGTAAACAGGTTCCTTTCTCTCAATGTGTTCCCTGTGTTTATAATAAGGAGAAGAAAACAGCAACAACCTGTACAATTAGTCAACCCTGTTATGTACTTTCAGAAGTGTATAGGCCTAATAAAAGTAACCATACAAGTAACCATATATGCAGCAAATTGTGATCTAGAGTGAGCTATGACTATGAGATTTTGGATGAAGTGTTATATTTTTGGAAAATACACTCTCTTTTAAAAATCCTACTGAAATCAAGGTCAATAGCCAAATAAAACACATATACCTGACTTACCACAGGAAAAGCCTGTAAAACTATCAAAAGGCTACCCCAGCAAACTACCTACAGTGATTGTTAAAGGCCAAGTACCTGATTTAAAATAAAACATGAATAATGTGTGTGTGAATCATATTCATATTTGGAATATCAAAAGATTCTGAAAGACATTTATTCATTCATGAAATGAGGTTAAGAACAGAGAAGATCAAGGTATAATTTGGATCATGATAATCATTTTCCATCTTTAACTTGCTTCTCACTCCACTTCAGAGAGAGAGAGAGAGAGAGAGAGAGAGAGAGAGAGAGATATATGTAGCAGCCTTATTAAGCATCTCTGATTAATCATGTGCCCATTTGTATTCTAAACCCAACTTAATTGAACAGAACCTTTTTGAAGGCTAACAAAGCTGTTAATGGCTTTAATATCAAGCATTGATTGGATTGCAATGGGTCTGGCGGGGTTCATGCTCCTGCTTAAACTTGATACCTTGCCCATGGCAGGATGTATCTATACAGGAGCATTGCAAGTGGTTTGATTCTGTGTTTCCTGAAAGTACAAAGGAAATGGGTCCTTTAGAAACCGCCACAACAGGTTCACATGTCTGCTGAACCCCCCCCCCCCCCCCCCCCCCCTACATGATCTGTGATCAACTTCAAACTTTGACTCAGGAGTCAGAGCCTGCAGAAGTAGAAAAATCTTGTGAGGAAAATGTGAAGTCAATGTTTGAATGTGAAAAATTGAAAATGGTTCAGATTATACAACTAATCATTTAACCAATTCCCTATTGAAACTGGTGGTCCCTGTATTAAACTAATGGAAATGAGAGCATTCAGTAGTTAACAGGTTAGATGCGTCATGTTCAAGCACAAAGAAATTTGAATATTGAGGCTCAAATCTCAAGCATATGCATTAATTGTAATCAAAGTAAGAATGACAAGTTTTCAAGAAAAGCCACAGCCTTACATTCAAAATTGATTTCCATATGTTATTAAAGCAGTGTATCATGTTGAGCTCACTATTGGTGAATACATGACAATACTGGTAATGCAGCCATTATTAGTGATTCACCTAGGCAACAGCACAATCATGGTGTGACAGACGTTCACCTGACTTAACTCTTTCAGTAAAAGTCATTGTCAAGATCGATGAATCAATGAATGTAGTCTTTATGACACTATTTCATTGGGATTGTGAAATATTATCTGATGGGAGCCAAAAGGACGTTAAATCTTTGCAAAATGATCTGAATTAGCTCCCTTTTACATTTTGTGAGATAAAATGAGCTCATTATGCAAATCAATGAATTTCACTTTACAGCAGTAACAACAAAAAAATGGACAGGAATTGTGAGTGATTTAGCTTTTAAGAGCTCCAAAAGTGCTCTGGTGAGTGGCAAAAGAGCTCAGGTAAATGAATGATCTGAATTAGCTCCCTTTTACATTTTGTGAGATAAAATGAGCTCATTATGCAAATCAATGAATTTCACTTTACAGCAGTAACAACAAAAAAATGGACAGGAATTGTGAGTGATTTAGCTTTTAAGAGCTCCAAAAGTGCTCTGGTGAGTGGCAAAAGAGCTCAGGTAAATGCAATAAAATACTTTTATATCACTGCGAAACAATAGCACTTATAAAACACCCATAAAGAGATTCTTCGAACAGAGAACTATGTTTTACACTGCTTTACAGTATACCCATCCAAACTTCTTGTTATCTTGTTATATGTATATCATACAAGCCTCATATATCTCCCGATAATGGGCCAAGAATTGAGGACTTGGACGAATCTAATATGTGATCTGTACTTTAGAGATAAAGATGTGGTTTCAACTTTTGACATAGATTAATGTATACTCTACTCATGATTGATCTTCTAAAATATGATAATTCAAATTCCCTACTGTATCAGAGATGGATCTGGTGAGATAACCACATTGTATAGAAAAAGGTTGTGACCTATTTCAACTGGTAATGAAAATGAAAAAACAATTATTCTATTTTGTTGAAATAAGGTAATAAACATGAGTTATTTGCTTGGTTGATAAGGTGTGCCACCAATATTTTGATTCTCCAAGTTCATCTAAGGTTAAAGCTATTGTTGTGTTGTGGTATGGGCATTACCCAAACCACAGAAAGGTGTTGTTACACTCAATAATAATTTTGTTGTGAAAATTATTTGAGCTCTCATACACAGTTGCGGGAGAAAATTAAAGTAAATGATTTCATTTATTTGATGAGCTGGCATATATGTGCCCTTCTGGTTCAAGATGCAATTCTTAGTATCCAATACACTAGACAAGTGCATCGAGGTGTATTAAAAACTATAATATTTCATATCATAATCTTTTATTTACCAAACGAATAGGTATCAAAACTAAAGAGTAAAAGAGAAAGAAAAGCCTCCCTGTTTCAATCATCAAACAATTGTTGAAATATCTTTGAATTAAATCCTGCTAGTAAAGTGAAAATAGAGCTATAAAATGCTCTTGCGGTTAACAGGTCTTTTATTCAAATAGCTCATTATTATCTCTAGTAGGAGGATGGCTTATCTAAATCAAACGATATAATTCTGTTCGTGGGCGGAGGATTTGTGTGGGAGGTGTTTCTGCAAGGATCTATCAAAATCAGCAAGGGAATATGCCATGTTCCAATGCTTGTTTTAATGTCTTTTATCATGGTCTTCACACTGTTCAACATAAATATGTATATTGTTACCATCAGAACTGCAACATTCATGACCTATTTTCAGATTTAAAAGAAAAGTGAAACAGCTTTGTTCTGTGAGTTATAGGCTCTAAATAGAATTAGTGTGGGTACGTCCCTCAGACTTGAAATGTGTTTGGACCTAGGGTTTGATAGTCTCATTTGATCAGCATTGACAATGAAATGTGTTGTTTCACTCATGAAATTATTGAAATTGAGAGAGCCAATCATCACCATCTATTCTCATGGAAAACTTGTCTTTCTTCAGTAAATTCTTAATGGATTCATTAACTTTTAAGTACAAAATCATGAAATAGGTATTAAGATGGATACAGCTACTGGAACACTATAAAAAATTATCTAGAATAGATTTCTTTGCAAAATATATTTATAAACTGCTTGCCACCATAAATGTTTACACATAATGTAGTTGTTCTAGTTGTATAATGTTCCTTGTTGATTGATCAATACTTTCTCTTCTGCATCCTAGGGAAAGTGATCTGATTCAATATTCTTGTTTTTGCATTCATAGTTTCACTCCAACTTTTATTTTTAAACAGAAATCTATTGGCCCTGCATTCACATGATATTTTGAATAAAGTATGCCAACATGTAGTCTATCCTCAATACTTTCATAGTTTGGTGGACATAAGCATAGGCTGACATACTTCATATTTCCAATATGACTTTAATTTGACATATATCATGGGAGATATGTCAATGTTCAGCCTCAAGCTCGAGTCTTCTGTTGTTTAGTTCTTTTATTCACTTTTCTTTAATTTACGTTTTCTTCTTAACTATTCCATCATGGATATACTTCCTTATTTAGAGGAGTGGTCATTCTGAATTCAATTGACAGCCCATTGCCAAGGAAGAGAACAGTTCATGTTTCATCCATGTTTGAAATGTGACCCTCACTTCAGCATGAATTCTTGGTGGTATACCATGTCAAAATGCTCATCATATTATCATCTCTTCCAATGTTACTTGTGGGCAAGACTCTCATAGAGGCATCACTTTGGTTATCACCGTCAACCTCCCTGTGTTTTGGGTTCAAGTTACCATCCCAATTTTGTATATTGTGATTAAAAATAAATAGTTAATTGATTCTGGATACTGGAGTCAGCATTCAACTTGTTCAAGAGATCTATGGGCATCTATATTGATCCAGTCCAGGACATTTGCGTTCGTTCATGTGTTCCACAAAGATAAATTGAAGGACAAAAGATTCAAATGTGGAATTATTATACTCAAATATTTGGCTTTTTATGAGCTTTAATCCAAATATGTGCAGAGAAAGAGGCATTTGGCATCATTTGTAACTTCTGGCATCAAGGGATTATATTTTGCGGTTTTCTCAATGATATACATGTCATGGTTATACTTTGGAAGGGGGATATAAATATAAAATAAACATGTATATTCCCCCACCATCATCTACTTGTCTCTACATGGCTATTTTAATAAAAATTGAAGTCCAATTTATTTTTTATTGTAATGTTAAGGTCGAGAGATTTGAATTACAGTGTGGGAGCATCTTACAAGTGAAACAAACTAGAATAAACTTTTAAAAAGTGAAAGGTTTGTTGAACTTGATTAAATTGAATTGTAATGCACACATAACATTTATACATTTGTAATGCTATGGGTTCTTGTATTAAACTTCAATAGTCAATATCTGCCCGACTTTGTATCCAGAACACATCTTTCAAATTCTTAAGTTACATTATTACTCCAAGCAAATGCCTTAGTGTGGGGGAGTATGTTTCAGTCAATAGCCCATCAAAATATCATTCG